TCACTGCACCACAGGACTGCAATTCGCTCATGTATACCAATTCTAAAAGGATGAGGATTGTATTTTTCTGCTTTTGCTTTCCTAAGCCTTCCCCTGGGTTGTTGTTTGGAAGTAATAAGGGATATAGGAGGAAGTTCTGGAGGAAAACAAATGTCATCACATGACAACTGCTTGAGGTGAGGTAATGTCATGGGATCAAGGCACAAGAAGACTGTTCTTCCCTCACTTGGAGGGGCCAGCCCAGAAGACCCAGAATAATTTTTGGGTTCCTGGTTCTCACCTTCCTTCACAAAGATGTCCTTATTTTATCTCTCAGAGTCCTATTGCTTTTTAAAATCACTTTTCTAATTTTTAACAAATGAAGTGTGTTGAGGCTGCACCTTCAGTTTTCTTTGCAGTTCTGCCACTTTTGGTATAACCTTCTGACTTGATCTAAAGCACAATTTTTGCCTTCAGGAGACATGCTGAAAGGGCTCTATACTGAGTGCATGTTTAAGAGATATAATAGATGGAGTGTTTCTGATGAGTCACCTAAATGGATCCAATACACAACTAGTTTTTATTATTATTTTTGTTTTGTTTTGTTTTATCTTTTCCTATTCTTGAAAAAGAAGAATACACTGTCAGCTATAATCTATTACTATGCAAAAATTTCTGTAACACAATTAGATAGTAGCTTCTGTAGTCAATGACAAACTATTTGAGATGATTTTCACATTGAACTTCACAGAATCTAAAAAAATAAAAATAAAAAAGTGGCATGTATATTTCATTAACATAACCCTAATAAATTGTAGAATATATCTTTCCTATGTCCCTGCAGCAAAAGAGATGGTCATGTTCTCAATCAGAAAAAAAAAAAAAGTGTTAACACTCCAGGTACAACTAAATTAATACAAATTTAATAAACTTGGTACATTTTAGTACAAAAAATAGATGTATCAAAACATACTCATATTTTCTGCCTCAATAAAAATATAAATAAGAAGTGAAATTGAAATTAGGTTCTTAATCATCCTGTAATTAGAGATTATGGTGTTAGATAGTGACAAAAATGTGTATCCAACCTAACTGAAGAAACATATTTCATACAAACAGTTCAGTTATCGTTACTTAAGTTATCCTCTTTAGATTGTGTTGAAAACTCACAGAACTTTTCTGTTTGTGACTTACATGTTTCTATCTCAAAGATTAAAAATCTTCTGGGTTATCACATTCTGTTTTGAAATAGAAAAACCTATCAGTCTGGAATTATAAGCATATATAGGGTTAACTGGTATCACAATAAAAACAAAAAACAAGCAAAAACTTATTGCCATTAATTTGATTCTGACTCACAGCAACCCCATGTTTTACAGAGGATAATAGTTCAATAGAGTTTTTTGGCTGTAATTTTCACAGAAGAAGATTTGCCAGGTATTTCTTCTGTAGCATTGATGGTGGGTTCGAAACTTGAACCTTTAGGATAGCAGTCTAAAAACAACTAAACTCACTGCTGTTGAGTCAGATCCTACTCATAGCTACCCCTCTTTGGGTTTCCAAGGTGGTATCACCTTGGAAGTAGTGATACTGTAGTGATACCACTACAGAAGTAGTTTGTCCAACCTTCCTTCCAAGGAGTGACTGATGGATTTGAACCACTGGCCTTCTGGTTAGAGTTAAATGTCTTAGGTACTTAGGTTACACCAGAGCTAGTAACATTAGAAATCAACATGAAGAAAGACAGAGAAAACACAGTTCTAAATCACAAGTGGTTATAGCTATCAAAGAGAGGAAGAGAAACTGTAGGGAAAATTCTAAGGCAATAGGCTTAAATGCCTGTTTGTAACTGGTGTTGGCTCTTGTATATGAAATTGATTCAACACTAATCAGTTCAAGTTTTCATATTGCCTATTTTCCTGAAGAAACTATTTCTCCTTTCTTAAGATAGCATTCTTTTAATCCACAATAATATTCTCTGATGAATAGGTCAATACAAACTATGAAGATGGATTTGAAACTTCCCCTCATCTTTGGTCTCCTGAGATCTTTTTCTTGCTCCACATCTTCCTCATGGCATTTTTCACCTCTGCGTTTCTCAGTGTATAAATCAGAGGGTTAAGTAAAGGTGTTCCAATTGTATAAAACACAGTTATCATCTTATCCATGGAGAAGGTGGTTGCAGGGCGTGTGTATATAAATATGCAAGGACCAAAGAAAAAGATCACTACGATGATGTGAGAGATGCAGGTGGAAAGGGCTTTCTTCCTCCCTTCTGCACTGTGGTTTCTCAGAGAATGCAAGATGATAACGTAGGAGAACATCAGCATGACAAAATTGACTGTGCAAATGGTCCCACTGTTGGATACTAAAAGTAGGTTGATCACATAAGTGTCTGTACAGGCCAGTTTCAACAAGGGCTGCAAGTCACATAAAAAGTGATCAATTACATTGGGACCACAGAAAGGTAACTTCAAGGTCAGAAAAATCTGAACTGAAGAATGCACACAGGACCCCACCCAGGCTACAGCTACCAACACACTGCAGACCCTCCGGCTCATGATGGTTGTGTAGTGCAGGGGTTTACAGATGGCCACATAGCGGTCAATGGCCATGAGGATAAGGACAAAGATCCCCAAGCAGCCAAAGAAATGGAGTGAAAAGACTTGAATTATGCATTCACTGAAAGAAATAATGTTATTCTCCAAAAGGGAATCCACAATCATCCTAGGAGCTATGGAAGTAGAGAAGCAGGTGTCAGATAAGGATAAGTAGAAAAGGAAGAAGTACATTGGACTCCCAAGGGTCCGGCTGGTCTTGATGGTAATAATAATCAGGAAGTTACCCAACAATGTCCCTAAGTAGAAAAGCAAGAAAATGACAAACACTATTTTCTTTTTCACAGGATCCTGTGTCAACCCAAGTAGAATGAACTCAGTCACATTGTTATTCAGCAGCATGATTTCATGGATGAGGAGGAGATGCAAGGGTGAAATGGTTTATCTGAAAAAAATATATAATTAATTAATTTATTTATGATGCTCTGCAATAATGTGGGATATTTTTAAACAGATTAATTTGTGGTGCCACACAATGTTATGGGTATTTTGAGCAAAAATAAATATTCCTCATCAGAGACAATCTAGCTACTATAGCTTAGTAAGTCACTCCAAGTCTTTATTCCTCAATTTTTAATGACCACCCTTCACAGGGTCACTGTAAGTCTCAAGTTAATATATGAGATAACTTTTCTAAACCACTCTTCAAATGCAACTCCATGTTCACTTTAACACACTTCTGTTCTTTATTACTTACTTGATGAATTAAAAATCCAGTTATATGGTTCCAATTTAATTATTTTTATATTGAATAGACTTTAGGGCCCATTTTTGCATGGTTTATCACTCTGCATTTGAGATCTATTTGTCTTCCCCTTTTGAGTTTAATGGTATAAAGGTAAAGTGACATACTATTTCCATCCGCAGAAAGAATATCTTATTTATACATATATTTAAGCATTACATGTTAGTGTTGCATACTTATGCAACTGTAAGTTACCTACAATATATGGTAAAGTAAAATAACTAAAACCTGTTACCATTAAGTCAATTTCACCTCATGGAGATCCCGTGAACTACAGAGTAGAGCTGCTCTACAGGGATTTTTTTGGCTGAAATGTTTAGAGAAACGGATCATCAGGCCTTTCTTCCATGGTAGTACTGAATGGGTACTATCTTTAGGTTGGTAGTTGACAGCAAAGCCTTTGCACCACCTAGAAACCAACAAATCCATAATATGGCCTAGCAATTTACTGAACACTCTGTCCCTGATTTTGCAACTTGGAAAAGGGAGCAAGAAACACTTATTTACCCCATTGCTGTGGAGGAGATTGGACTCAGAGCAACCCACAAACTCTTCAAAAATCAAACTCACTGCCACCAACTCGACTGGACTCATAGCAACTTCTCTTTGGGTTTCTGAGGTGGCATCTCTATGGAAATAGATTGCCCAATCTTCCTTCTGAAGAGTGGCTATTGTTATTGTGGTTGTTAATATGCCGTCAAGTCGGCCCCGACTCATAGCAACCCCTCCTTGGGTTTCCAAGGTGCTATCCCTACAGAAGTAGATCACCCAACTTCCTTCCGAGGAGAGCTTGGTGGGTTTGAACCACCAGACTTCTGGTTAGTAGTCAAATCCTTAGGCACTAAGCCACCAGAGCTCCCAATAAACACTTACAAGCTTTGAAATAATCTACTCTTACCTTCAAAAACCTTAATGATATTTACTACTTGACATATGCTAATAAGGGTTGTTCTTTGGTAATTGTTAGTAGAAATCTAGGAGCCCTGATGTTTCAGTGATTAAAAGCACTTGGCTGTTAACCAAAAGTTGGCAGCTGGAACCCATCCACTGTTTCGTGGGAGAAAGATGGGGAAATCTGCTTCCTTAAAGATTTATGGTCTTGGAAATCCTGTGGGAATGTTCTACTCTATCACTATGAGTGAGATTTGACATGAGGGCTTTTTTTCTATTTTTCTTCTTCCAATTTCTGAAAGGTACCTATTAGAGTCCATGAGGTTACATTTTTCAAATAACATGGGTGGCAATGATGGCTTAATGGTTATGTTTCACAATTTAGGTATTTAGCTGAAGCATGATAGGTCTGGGGCAGTAGGAGTGAAGGTTATCACCAGGCACAACTGGCAGTTTGTGTGGGATCAGAGCATGACTTCAATCCCGTTTTCTGAAAACCCATGTTCCTGGAACAGAGCAGAGAAGCAGAAAAGGGAGGGCAATATGATTGCAAAAACATGGTAGACAGTCAGTACCCAATTTCTTCATTCAATTTTTGTCCTCCTGAAGTTAATGACTGTTCAAATTTGAAATATCATATCTCTCCTTGTTTTTTTGTTTTCTCCCTCTGCCTTACACCCAGTGAACCACCAAGCCTACTTTCCCACACCTCTCGAGAGATAGAATGCTTCCCTCCCTGCATTCCTCCTGATATGGTTGCAGCAGCAGTTAATTTTTGAGTCAAAAGGCAGGCTTGGCACTGTTATAAGTGCTTTACATCTATCAAATCATTTCTTTTTCTCTACCCTCTAGTTAGTGGTTTATCTTTACATCATATCTTTCAATGAAGACATCTTTTTACAAATGTAGAACACAATCAAGGGCTACACTTGAAGGACAAAACATTTGTTAGATCTTCCTCATCAAAATGACACTGAAAGTATGTCATATGCAAGTAAAAATATTTCCTGAAACTTAAATACAACGGAGAAGACATAATTATCCTGTTGTTTTCCTCCCCGAACCTATTCACATCTCCAGTGTATTGTCTTGAGAGTTGTGATATTGTCAAAAAACAGACTCCACGGCATATAACAACAACATTTTCTTCTTCCTTTGTAAATTTTGTTTTCCTCAATAGACTTTAAATGAACCTTACCTTCCCTGAAAGCAAAACCTACCCTTGGGAAAATTCCTGAAGATTTGTTCACTTTGGAGTGCCAAGGATGAAATGCATTTCTCTTTGTACTATGTGATCTCAGGAGGGATAAATTTAAGGGGCCTAAGTGTTGGTATTTTAATCATTACATTAAGCTCATTCTTTTCTTTTTTCATTTAAACAGTAAACTATCATAAAATATTTATACTTGAGAATATGGTAGACATTGGAGGCAAATGATACAAAAGTCTCATTCACTTCCAGTAGTCTATGATTTCGGACACTATTTTGCCAGCCACTCCTCAGAAGGAAGGTTGTACAATCTACTTTTGTAGTTATACTGCCTCAGAAACCCAAGGAAGGGTCCCCATGAGTCAGGTCTGACTCCACGGCACGTAACAACAACAACATTTGCAAGTAGAGTTTGTGGTTTGTATATATCAGTCCCATTATGGAGTTCATTTCCTTTATGCATTTTGGCATAGATCTTTAAGATAAATTAAGAATCATAGATACATTCCAATAAGTTGCTAGTGATTTTGGGTCCTGTCTTAGATACTAGTGATGCTGCAACAGATATACCACAAATGCGTGGATTTACTGAACAGAAGGTTATTTTTTCACACTTAGGAGGCCAGAAGTCCAAAGTCAAGGGACCAGCTCTAGGGGAACGCTTTTCCTTTCTGTGGGATCAGGCAGCTGGTACTTGTCTCTTCAGCTTCTATTCCGTGGCTCCTTGGTGATCTTCATGTAGAATGACATGCACCTTCCCCATCTTGGCTTGCTACATATATATATATCTCAAAAGAGACTACATTGAAATACAGCCTACACTGAATTTACCCTCATTAACACAGTAATGAAAAAACATTACTAAATGAGATTATAACTACAGGTAAAGAGGATCTGCAGTCTTAAAGCACATTTCTACCCATTCACTCTTAATCCAAACAAAGCAGACTACTCAAATGATATATTTATTAATAATTATGAGACATGTTTTCTATAACCTCAAATACAGGTTTGTTAGTTTTTTAATTTTTGAACAAAGGGCTCCCCCCCCCATTTATTTATATATTTATTATTGTGATTTGGGTGAAGATTTACAGAGCGAATTCACTTGTCATACAGCAGTTCACATATACTTTGTCTCATGTCATTGACTACAGTTTACCACAATGCAATAGCTCCCCTCCTACTTCCTCCCCATAGTTACCTCTTCCCAGTGTCCATCCCTCCATGGACTCCTGCCCCCTGAGCTGTCTCCCTGTGCATAAGCAGCCCATCTTTCTCCCATGATTGTTCTCTCCAAGGAGTGTATCTACTGGAGGTAAATTTTCAACTCATATGCCTGTATTTTGCTTGGCTGGAAACCACAGGTGTGGGTTCAATTCCAGATCTGAAGGGCAGCTGGGGCCATAGTCTCAGTCATTCCACCAGGCTCTCTCGGACCAGCAAACCTGGTCCCCGAGAACAAAGGGCTTTTTAATACATTTTTTAATCTACAAAGCATCATGAATTAGAAAAACATGAATATAGTTCCCAGATTGGCAAATATCCGTTGAACTCTATGTATAATAAGGGTGTATTCACAATACAACAGGAACGTAGGGGTGAGGATTAGTAAATGCACTAGGTGAGAACTGTATCATGGAAATAACATAGAAACTGGAGATTTAAAAGTAATAGGGATGAAGTCACAAAACCCATCTTGCTTTCTCTTTTCTTCCTGGGATTCTTTCATTTCCAGCTGTTCCATCCTTCTCAAACCATTGTGACCCAACTACAGAGAAACCTCCTGCAGGCAGCCTTCAATGATTGGCTTATGATGATGGAGATTCTCTCTCCTCCTTTCTACAACCTTTCTTTATAACATTTCTTATAATGTTACATATTATTACTTACAATACAATTATTTGTACAGTATTGTTTTAGCTTTCTTCCTGGAATAGGATTCTTGGAAAACTATGTGCTTTCAGAATTTTATTCTCTACTTTTCAAAACCAAATGTCTTATACAATGTAGGAGTTCAGTAAATGCTCTTATACCAAACACACTCTACTTCTATAATTCATAGTAGAAGAGAGCACACTTCGCATTTCACCAAATT